TTCAGAGGACATGAGGGAGGAGGGAAGAATGCAGAGGGAGGCTGAACACCAGGAGTTTTTTGTGATAATTTCAGAAAGCAGAATGAGCGGTTTGTTACATTGTTGGAGGTTAAAAAATTGCATGGAGAGACATGATGGGTTGTATGGATTCTTTTTGGAATCTTTACATTTTGAGGAAATAGTGGGGAGGGTGGAGAAAATGCTGGAAAAAGTCCATGCTGTTTCTAAAACCACGCCTTTAGAATAACCCCCTAACCCGCACTCTCCGTGTAGGTCAGAGGAGCCAGAGCGAGGGAGGGAGCCAACCCTGCCCTCTGACAATTTTGACCACTAAAGGTGACGTTAGGAAAGGCTGGTGAAGATGTGTCCACCCAAGAGGAGGACACAGGAGTATTCACCCAGCAGGCGGGCTCAGAGGCTGCCCAAGGGCGGTGGGATACGGTGGGATGGCCGAGCCACGGAGTGACCCCGAGCAAAAGTGGGAGAGATTAGAAGCAATATTAGGACGCTGCCATAGACAGACAGCAAAACAAAAGGGGCTGAGCAAAGTTGCAAAGGCCTGGCCCTCCGGAGGGGAGGTTGGGGGCCCTCCGTCCGGCACTGAAGCCGAGCTGGCAAAGTTCATTCAAGAAGTTGGCCCAGGAGTGACAAAAAGTTGTGGTTTTCATTTGGGGTCTGGTTTCTGGCATAAGCAGCAGTCACCCAAAAAGGGATTTATATCCTGAAAAGGAGTTTCTCCCTAAATATAAGTTTTTAGATTTTTTTTCTCAGATTCAAAACCTTGGCTTGGAGGGGCAGACGGGGCTGGCAGCACAAACACACTGCAGTGCCAGTGGCCAGAAACGCTGTCACCATGGCACCACCCGTGAAACAACCAACAGAAACCTCGGTGAAACAACCAAAAGCAAGCAACAAAAGAAAAGAAAAAGAAAAAGAGAAACAACAGAAAGCTGGACATCTCGGAGAGGGAGAAAAAAGAGAGTTTTAATTGGGCAATTCAAAAATTAGAAGCTTTGTAAATTGCATTGTTGGTTAATCTGCAAATTGTACTCATGATTCAGTTTTTAAAAAGAAGTACCTATTGAAAGAAACGCCTTCAAAAATAGAGCAAAAATTTACAAATATTGTATAGTGGTAGATATATATATGGATGTTGCATTTCTAATGTTATCTGCTGGTTTTGTTTTTACAAATAACATGGAAAATAATAATAGTTATGTATCCCAAGAAATTTAAAAGAGTTTTGATTGGTTTCAGTATTTCCAATACATGAAGGTTTTAAAAATGTTATCTTTTCTATAGATCTACTGATAATGTAACATTGTATGATATGGAGTGATCATCAGGTATTACTACTGTAGTTACAGTCAATTTCTGCAAAATGCATTTCTTTAAAACTGAATTGAAAGATCAGAAGTGGAGCTGTCAGGACATGGTTGTGTCTGAAAACTACACAGACAGTTTACCAACAGAAATAAAAAGTTACCTTGCAATAATTACTTTTAAAACCTAATGTTAAAATACTGAAAGATTTACAGCTATTAATAAAACAACCTTTCAATTAATGTTATCTACAGAAGATATTCATAGTTTTAAAAATAATCAGCTAGGAGAATTTCACTGTACAAGACAAATTTAAGTTAACCATATATTACCCATTTGCTTGTTTATTTTTTTACAATTTTAATAAGGTATATTTCCCATTTACTTGTTTATTTTTTTACAATTTCAATATGGTAATTTTAATGTGAGTCCTTTTATTATAAAAAACACGTATAACAGCATATATACCGATCTGGACTTTGGATTTTAATTAAAAGTTAGACTTAATGTTTCTGAAAAGTGCTACAAAAGCTGAATGGGAACTTGCCAAATTCTGTGGTGTTGTGTTTTTTTCTCTAGTAAAACTGCACTTTAAAAATCCTAACCAACTTGAACATATACCAAGCAAATTCTTGTTATGAGTAAATATTTTTAGTAACATCTGCGGTTATTGTGAGTTATTCTCAAAGACAAATAACAGAGAATTGTGATGTATTTGTTGCATCCTTATAATCTCTATAGTGAATCCATGTTACTGTTATATTGTGTTCAAAAGGTATATGCCAAACTTTTAGTTGCCTTTTTTATAATAATAGAGTAAGACTGAGTTGTGCTTTCATCTGATATAGATACAGTATTAAGTGATTAAGTGTTAATAGAATTAAGCAAAGTTAAGTTTCACTGTGTTTAAGTTTGAGTGTTTTTAAATTAAGTTTTATAACTTCGGGTTTTGTTTTTTTTTTTGAGGTTAAGTTTTGTTATTTCCTTTTATCATAATTAATTTTTACCAGGTTTAAATATTGTTTAATTTAAATTACTTCATGTTTCATTGAAGACACTTGTTTAAACTGCAAAGTATAGTTGTTTGCCTGGAAAGATGAAGATGCCCACAACTTGGACAGCTGTGATAGAACACTGGTGAACACCTGCTTGTGGATAGAGGTGAATGCAATTTGTGACACCCTTGATTTCATCAGAAATTTTATTGTTTATTGTGATCTCTACAGTTTTTGTTTTCAATAGGTAACACAAAAGAATAGTGATTGTTATTTACTAAAAAATTAAGAAGTTTTTTATCTTGTTTCATTTTTAGTCATTAAGACATGGATGTTTTAAAAATATTATCTTGATTTTTTTCAGATACTTACTGCTGACATATTCATTGTGTAATGTAAATTTATGGATTTCTATGATGAGGATTATCTATAAAGTGTTGTTGTTGTATTTACAGCCATCTTTTTTATATATTTTGACATATCTTTGTGTAATTACCTTTTAGACACGTGTCATTTGAGATTTTTTTTGTTATCTAACTAGAGATGCATCTTGGTAAACAAGTTATATAGCTGTTCCTATACAGAGGTTTGTCTTTTTTTGTTTTACTATTTTCCTTGTTTAAGAAGATTTACTTTTGCCTAATCCAGTGTAGCTTTATTATTTTATATTTTTTAATGTTTCCAGGATTCTAAGAAAATGTATCATTGCTGAAAGTTAGGTGTTATAAAAGAAACTTCAGCTTAAACTAACTGCTAAATGGTTTAATTAGTCAATTACCTAAGACTTCTGATCATTTGTTTTATACAAATGCCTTTTAACAGTTTGCTGTGCTTTAAGCATCTTAAAGCATGCTATTATTAAAAACCTTGCTCTGAAAATGATTTAAGAGACATCTTTCCAGTTGAAAGCCTAAGGCCCTTGCCAAGCCTTGACTTTACCTGGATGAGGAATTTACCAATAAACCCAGAAGTTTTCTGCATCAAAACAATATTCAGGTCAATTTGACTTGGCAATTAGTGAATTAATATAGCAGCTGAATTTTTACAGTGAGCTTGGAAGATTGTTATCCAGATACGATTTTCCAACCTTCCATTGATTTATCAGCTGTGGCAGACTCTGGGATGAGAGTATATTTAGTACATTCAGTAATTCATATTACAGATGATTTAGATAATTTTAATATAGCATAATATTAATTTTGCATCTTCTTAACAAGTTCTTGATTGCTGTAAAAGTGTTATTTCCTATACATTGTCAGAACAAGAAAACAGATATTTTACCCTTGCTTACAAGAGAGGGTGAGAAACAGAGGTTGCAGCTCAGAAGCATGGAAACCCTATGTATTTTGGATTTTGGAAAAAAGCATAAAGACCTTATATCTATTACAAATAATTCCTGAACAGTCCTTTTTAAACAGGTCTTTTACAAAACCAATTTCATCAGTTATCAAGTAGGCTTCTAACAGTACTCAAGCAGAGTTGAGAGAGAATTCTTTGGTTCTGGTCAAAGGTTCAGAAGCAAGACAGATTAAAAATCTATTTCAATTAATAATTTGGAAGAAAGTGTATGCCATGTATCACCATGAAAACATGCTCATGAATTTCATGTTCTATGAAATTCAGTGTTTTTCTGGATCTTAGAACTTAAGTATCAGAAACAAGGGCACACACTCTGTGTCTCAGACTCCAACAACTCTTCTTTAGATTTCCTAGTATTGAAAGAAATTCAAGCTGTACTGGAAAAAATGAATGTTACTATGATTTACATTACATTTATACACACAGTTACTGCATTGAGCTAAGAAAAACATAAGGAGTTATAACCCTGTTTTTTGAATACATGCTAACTACATATTCATTATATGTTTCTTTGAAATAATTCTGTAATTTTGAACATGTTCAGTTTAGTACAGAATTTTTGTATGATTACAAGATGTGAAAGGGAAAGAGAGAACACACATTAGATTTGCTAAATTTTTGTCTCCCATGACTCTGCTGGTAGCTGAAAAACTGTTTACCTCCTGAAGTATTACTCAGAAGACTGTTGAGGCTGCCTTAACTTGAACTAAAAATACCAAAATGCAAATTTGGATACAAGGGTTAACGTTACTCTGTATCAATTCCCCAACCCATCAGGGGCCTAAAGAAATCTTGTCTGTTTGGGGAGGCTTATGCTCTTTTCTGCCGAGAGACATGCAAGTAAGTACCCTTTAAGAGGGCATTTAATGCTAGTTGAACAAACATAATATGCTTTTGAAACAGGTATCTAGAATATTAACAGGTATGTAGAAAGTTATTAAGTAGCTCAAAATCACTAATTAGTGCCCAGGATTAAATATTATATCACAACCTACTTAAAATTAATAATTTAGCTGCATACATAATGCGAATTCTCAAATGCAATGTCATTTCTACTCTCTTTGAAATATATAGCTTCAAAAGCTGTCTTTTGGCTGTACATGAAAAATGGACAACAATTGTAAAATTTTTTAAAATGAAAAGCAACAGTTGACTTTTACAAAGTTGCAGAACTATTTCTAGCTGGTGTAGAGGTGTCTGCACTAATACAGCAATACAGCCACGGGACTATGACAAAGAAGGAAACAGTTGAGATATACTTACAGTATTTTCCTTGGACATTCCTCTCAGTTAAAATACACCATTCACTTTTTGTATACTCACTTTGAACTCCATGGGAGCGAACTATTTTCCAGGTTTCTGAGGCCACCTCTTTTACATCCACTTGGTAGTGGTGAATGGGAACACCTCCATGTGAATCTGGCTTACTGAACGAAACCTTGGCAGTGGTTTGTGACAGCTCAAAAACTCGTACTCCGTATGGATTTGATGGCACATCTGAAAAAGTACAAGCACAGTTTAAAAATCAGCAGCAACTAGACAGACCTAAGCAGCTGATAATCTACCCACAAAAGTCTCCTTAGAGTCTTCAAGGGAGAAAAAAATAATATTGAATATGGTGCAATAATATTTGTGTTAGATAAACAACTTAATCTTTCTACTACAGAACTGTAAGAAAACCACATTCATTTTCTTGTATGCTAAATTACTGCAAAAACATTTCCCATTTTTGCCTTTCTTTTATAATATGATTTTTTAATAGCCAGTTTCATCATAGAAATACGTAAGAGATCAGCTTGTTGACTCTATGTAAAAGAGAATAACAAACTTTATATCAAATTTAACAAAACAAACACAGCTAATTAGATAATTCAGAATCTAAATTCTTCTAAGTAAGCTTATGATAAATTACCTTATAAATAATTTGGCCATTTTATGGAATGCTGAAACACAGCTGAAAACATGAATCTCTTTTTATTTTTTTCCAAGAATGGATTTCAAGCTACTGAGAAAATATGTTAATGGAAGGCTTCTTATTCTTTGCTCATCTTACAAACTAATTTGCAAATTAGGTTGAAAGAAACCTTTTCTCTGAAATCAAAAGCAAGAGTATATCTTTCAAAGTAGAAAAGAGCTATGAAAATAAAGCAGGTGTTTGTAGGTGTTGAAATACTACATATGAAATAAAAGCAAAAAATAACATTGGGGTCAGTACATCTTTAAAAATAGAAACATTACATTATTTTTACAATTCGTCATAAAACATATGGAAGTCAAAAGACTAGCTTTTCTAATTGTCCCACATTTAAAAGAGTTATAATTATAAAAAGTGATATTGAAAATTATAGGAAGAATTTTTAATCTGTGGACAGAATACCAGACTTTTAAAACACCATTAAAAGTTTCTTTTCTGATCCACTTGGAAATTATTTGCATACTTTATTCCAGAATTGACATTGCTTTTGTTTCCATGTTATAAAAGATATTTTTTTAAGGACATGCCAGAATTTGAGCCAAAGCCTGTAATTTGGTTAGTGGGTAATGAACCATTTACATAAAACATTGTCTGTATTCAAAGGCTGTCAGACAGTTGTGAATAAAAAGAATCAATCTGAGTGTCACTCGGCATTGTTACTTGAATGAAAATGAGAAAAAAAAATTCTACAAAATATTAGAGAACAGATTTAATGACACATTCAGCCACAAATTCTCAGGAAAAGGACACTGCCAAATCTGATGTAAAGGGGTTGATTTGTATAACCTCTTAATTATCAGAAACTTAATTTTTTAAAGGACATCTCTGTCAGTTGTCAAACTTGAGTGTTCTTATGCAAATGTCTTATAATACCTCTTACAACTGGCTTTTCAGATTCCAGGTCTCCTGAAACCTCCAATACTTCGTGTTTATTGGTTAAAACCAGCACAGATTTTATTTATATGGATAAGAAAGCTGTAATATTGTTTACTTAAAGACACAACTACGTGAATCCATGACATTACAGATTTCAGTAGAATTGAAGTGCCAGCTTGAGGGACTCAAATCCTTTCCTATTCCAGAAAAAAAACATCAGGATAAGTGATTTTGTAAGAAATTTTCACTACCAAATGTAACCAGGCTGCTATGAATTCATGAAAAAAACAGACCTGGCTTTGGGATTTCTTTCTAAAGGGATCAAAAAGTTGTGGGCCTTTAGAAAAAAGAAATTATGTTCAAAAAACATATGGACTGTCTTTTTCTGTGACCACATAGAAGAAAAATGAATTATATGAGTTACTTGTTAAGTCAATATTCATTCCAAAATCAAAAGAGAATGAGAATGAGCTAAAAGCTGCTATGGATATCTACAGTATTAAAAATAGCATCTAAGCTTTTGAAACTTCTTTTTCTCTTGTTAAAAGTGTTCAAAATAAACCAAACAAAAACAGGGGATAAAGGAATATCTAATTTCATTCATACTATTTTTATGTTAGTTTTTGGATAATATTTTAATAAGGAAATTCCCTAGTGCTTCTGTCTGCATCAATACAATTATTTGGTCTATGGTATGAAACAAAAATGTGTTATTTACATATCCACATTGTTCTTGACTTTCCAAATATTATGGAGACCTCTCTATCTTGTGCGTGGTTAACTATAATAAGCATGACTCAGGGAAGATGAAATCCTTCAGGTAGAACCTTATGTTTGCTACTGCAGTAGCAGTATAATTTCTGCCAGGGGAAGATATGATTCCTTTTGATAATAAGCATGAAATGAAGCTCCTTTGAAAACCCGGTATGATATGTTGTGCAACTAGCACAACACAATATGTTTAGAACTCACTGAAGTAAAATACATCCACAATACTATTTTAAATATGCATCTCACATTCCAAGCCACCCACTGGTACAGGTAAGTTTTATGCAGTTTCCAAAGTTGAACTATATCAGTTCTAAGGAAGAGAGTGAATAACCTGAAGAAAATATAGCAGAAGGCACATTCCTGGTGAAAACCAAAACCAAATACTAGTCATACCATCAAGATACAATAAAATACCTACTATCTATTTCCAACTAGGTAGATCTGTAACTTTTTTTCCCCCAAAGAAGATCAATAACAGCATAATGAACTGAATCTAATTCTGTAGTTTTCTAATGAGTATGAATTTGATCTGCAAGATATACAGCCTTCTGGTCCTGATCCAGTTAAGCATTCCTGCATTTGAGTTGTACCCTGTCAGTTGCAATTACTTGGAGCATTGCTGTGATTTTCATGTTAGAATTGCAAGCCTTTTGGATCAATGTTTAGCAGGAGTGAAGAATAATTTGAAATGTTTTGTACTCCAAAATCTCTTCCTGGAAGAGTAGAGCTGTGCATTTTTCTTGTTCTTTTTCCTTCTAAAACCAATAAAATGAATCTTAGAGGACGTTAGCTACAGGCAGTGATCACTAATACATGTATTTTAGATACAAGTTGAAGGACTAAGTAGTAGAAAAAGGAAGGGATTTACTTTCTGTGATTTAAAGATCACTTAGTAATAGCAAAGATTCCAAAATACTTTCTTTGAACTTCCATTGCTACATTGCTATCTTTTTTTTTGTCATTGTACTGCTGTCAAAACAAGGGATAATTCATCACAAATTCAGCTTTTAAATTAAAGAAATAAAAAGTCCCAACAAGTCAGACATTTTGCCAATTCCAATTCCATTTGACATTGGTTTGGTTCTAAAAACAGTATCACTGATAGAGAAGTACATGCAGAATTATGAGTTCCTATTTGTCTCCACTGATGTGTAAAGTCTTTATAATTATGACCAAACTTGTTCAATAAATGACCTCTTTTTATCACTGTGGATTTTCTTTTCAAGATATTTTTTGGATAGCTTTATGGAAGAAAATAACTCCCTCTCAGACTTCAGCAGTCCTGGTATAAACAGAGAAATGGAAGTGATTCTGTGAGAGTAGGTAGTGGGCTCTGAGATTGATCTTCCAGTCAGCTCTTCTCTCCTGTCAGTATGTTCCTACTCCAGCTTTTTTTTTTTTCCACTTCTCCAGCTTTTCCTCTCTCTGTACATCTGGCATATATATTGACTGAAAATAACTATGTCTAAATGCTGAATCTAAGCAGCACCAGGACCTTGGCAAGGAAAGAGATGAGGCTGGGGACTAGATTTCTGGAGTCAAAAATCTCTATGAAATCGCTTGTGCTTGTACGTCCTTATAATGGAAAAAACCCATCAATATTAGATCTACATATATTTACTTTGCCAAATCTCTGAGAGTTCTGGAAAAATAAGCCTTCAGTTAGTAAACAAGACAATAGCTAGAAAAAAATTACATAAATAATAAATTAAAATAAGACACATGCACACAAAGCAAAACACTGCTGCCATGTTGATAATTTCATATCTATGCTAATTGAAAACATGTTGCTGTTTTGTTCACTTTTTAATAAAAATCCTTTAGGTGACACTGCTATTATGACAATGGCAAGTTTTAGAACAGCAGGCTAGATTTTAGTTCTGCCCATATTTTTGCAGAGACAAGTGGGCTTTTGGCAGAATATGATTTTCTTTTTTCATTATACTATTCTCCAGGAAAAATTAAGTCCTACTACTTTGATTTTCTTTTATCTGCATGGAAATACAAATACTGGTGAATAAAGGAACATCTATTAAGCAGCAGTAAAGTGCCAGCATCAAAACTATAGACTAGAAAATTTCTAAATTTGATTTTGTAGTCTTTTCCAGTTGTCAATCAGCCTTTTCATATTTTGAGCATGACTTTATTCCGTAAAACAGGTTACAGGATGCATTTTCTGTGAAGCTCAATTATGGTCTTTCCCATGTCTTTATTAGCTTTTGTTGTCATAAATTTCCATCTTCACTGACTTTCTGTGTGCACAGGATGCTTAAAGAGTAATTCAATAAAGTGGTATAGGAGTTCTGAGTATCAAATGACATAACTGACTTTTTGTTTTTTAATTCCCTGTAGTATTCCTATAGAAAGGAAAAAGACAAATCATACAGCTGTAGCAGATGTAGCATCTCTCATTTGCTCAGAGAAGCTGTGGATGCCCCATCACTGGAAGTGCTCAAGGCCAGGTTGGGCAGGACATTGATCACCCTGGTCTAGTGAAAAGTGTTCCTGCCCAAAGCAGGACCTATTCCATCCCAGAATACAAGGAAGAAGGGGAAAGGAAGAGTAAAGTTTTGAGATCTGTAGAGGTGAATCATAGTTGACTTTTTAGGGCTCAAGATTCAGCCCAGCTATACATCCAGCTATGCAGAAAATCTACTTTAATAAATAAAAAAAAGAGAAACTTTCAAAATTCTCATTAAGTTCTGTATCACAACCTTAAAGTTTACCATTTTAAGATATTAAATTACCTATTCCAATAACATAGTCCTAAACTACTGATGGCCATGTGACTTTCTATTTACCTACACAAAACATTTAAAACAATTATACTGAGACCTTGACAAAACAGAAGAACGCTTTTCTAGTTCATACTGGCTCCCTGAATAGTGATATTTCACATAAACTATGCATAAACTAGATTTGGACAAATCCAGGAATATCTGTGCTCACCTCAGGCTCTGAGAGCCATTGGGGCAACCTGCCAAGTTGACCTGGCTTGCCAAAATTTAAGCCTGACTCAGATTAAAACCAGACTGTAAGTTAAATTCTAAAATAAAAGTTGTGGCTGTTGTGCTGACATGAAGCATCTAACTTGAAGTGGAAACAAGTGACTATGGCTCTTTTCACATTCTATATGTCACATAACATTTTAAAAGCTCAGGAAAGGAAAAAGGAGGGCGCCCATGTGGTATTTCTAAAAGTTGATCACTACAGCAGTCACATCATGAGCACATCTGATTCAGCTTTCAACAGAATTCTGAAGTTTCTAAGCAGATTTCATTCCAGAATGAAACTTCACATACTTTACAGCTTTTCAGTTTTGAAAGGTTTAAACAGAATTCAGTCTGATTGAGTAGCTCTGTATAATCTGAGTGAACAGTTATGGTTTTTCTGTCATACAAACATGGCTGTAAATTGCATATCAGTTCTGAAAGAAAAATTCCTTTTTTAAATCAGCAGTAAGTCTAATTTCTTAAGGAAGGCAACACGAATAAAGATAATGGAATTTTGACAGTATAACTTTCTAAGAAGCAGTAAATTAATAAAACAAAATGTAGTTTGATTGTGCTGAAATCCAGCGAAGCAGAAAATGGAACAAAGCATGAAGGAACAAGTAATTCCTGAAGAATTTAAGGAAAAAAACTATTCAGTAAAATGATCATTTGTGATCAAATTTACCCTAGCTGTATACTTTACTTAATACTGTCTCCCAGATAGGAATTGTATTTATTTTTCCCTGACAGAGTCTTTGTAAAACATTCTATGCCCCAGAATTTATATTTAAAATCAAAGCCAGGAGGCAAAGCAGGCTGCATTGAAATACATTAAATTAAATTATAGCCTTTAATATGGAAAATATCAATCATTAGGCCTTCCTAATCAACCAAAGTGAAGCAACCAAGGTAATAAAACTAGGGAGAAAGCTGCATTTGACATCTTATACCTGTAATTATTATAGTGGTTTTATCCTCTGTGTCCCTGATCATTTTCCATTTCCAGCTGATGCCAGTTTAAGTGCAAAACTTGTAATGATGAATTATACATTTGGGGTTTTATTCCAAAAAAATGTCTATTTAGAGCAAATATCAATCTTTCAGGATACTGAGTATTAGGCATTACACTACTATAAGTAGTGCATAGCAGGTAGTACATAGTAGTGCACAGTGACACCCCAAATCCAGTTTTTCCAGCCCTATTCATTATCACTATTCAAAATCCTACCTTTTTTTTTTCCTATTTTCTGCATTTAATATGATTAACTAGAATATACCCATATAGTTCATGCTTTACATGCTCTCTTCCCATAGCTCTATTTATTCTCATTCCCCTTATTATAACTAAAATACATATTTTTAAGTGTTCATCTAGCTTTCTGATGAATTGCCTGAAAAAAAGATAAGCAAAACATTGCAGAAGTAGAGAATATTAATATGTTTAAAAAAATGTCATCGGTGCCATTTCTGATGTAGTTGTATTAAAAAGCAAAAAGAAAGTATTATAGCTTGTTATTTGTTTTTTCCTTGCATTTCCAGGGGAGCTCATGTGTGAATTTCCTGAAATAAAATGACAAAATATTATGTGCTTTTTCAATTAACTTTTCAATGCTAATATTCTTTATTAAAATTGATTAATTAATAAAAGCAGGGGATATATACATAGCTAAAACAATCATCGTGTAGTATCATGCATTGTGATGAGATGTTGTTCTGCAAATCTAAGAAAAAAACAAAACCATTCTGGAGAATATCTGTTGAAATGATCTCCCAAGTGTATACACATTTATGAAAAAAATAAAGCATACAGTGGCAACCACAATATTTTCTCATCATTTTCTCTCCAGAGAGGTAAGACACCAGAGGGATGCAAGCAGGGGTTTTCTTTCCTTTCCTATTATTTATGTTCATGGCTTCAAGAAAATCTTTCTTTCTTGGTAGTCAAATGTAGCTGTCAAAGGAAGGTTAGATCACACCACAGCTAACACCCCAAAAAAGTTGAAAAATGAAGGGTAATGGATCTTCTAAATGATGTAAAATTGTGTTTCACAGAAATCTGAACCCCACATTTTCCTATTTTAAGAAGCTCAGCACTTTTCACAGTTCTTCAAAAGCAAAAGGTATATTATGGTAGGAAGGTGTGCTAGTAGCCTACAGACATAATGGGAAAAACTTTCAAAATTGTGTACAAAGTCTAAGAAGACTATTAGTAAATAATGAGGTTTTATAATTCCTGAGACACTAAAAGAAAAAAATTGCCCAATGGAGCAAAAATAAATAATAGCAGCAGGCCAGGTCAGAGTTTCCGTGTGACTGGATGTGCATGCTTCAGGAATGCTTCCCACTAAAACTCTTCCTGCTAGGAATCTAAAGTGGGGTTTTTTTTTATTTTTTTTTCTTATATAAAAATAAAATTTCAAGAAAAAATTAAAAAGAAAGAAGAACTAGAGAAAAAAAAAATTATAAATAGCGTTATATTTATAAATAGCATTCCATAAGAAAATGTAATTGCAAGCACTGCTAAGAAACTCATTTAGTTTCAGTTAATAGTTATTTCTGCCCAAGAACAAACAGATTTTTCTATTTGCCTGAACAACAACAGAAGGACATAAAAATATTCAGACATTCTGTAACAATAGGATGTAGCATATCTCAGAGCTTAAATTATTTCAATCTAGCACTCCAGTCAAATTCTGCTTTCTTAATAATTAAAAGTGCAAATGGAGATAGAAATTCTTTGCTGAAGTATTTCAATCTTTTGTCATTGTTGCTTTTTCAAGAAAATAAGGAGGGAGAAAAAGGAAAAAAAGAATTTTCTAATTCCTTCTTACTTTTACTGACTGCAAACCATATGTGTCTCTGCTGAAGTAATAAAAATACATTGTTATAAATGTAGGATATAGTAAGAGCAAAGGAAAAAAGGTTAAACTAATTTTCTTCAAGCTTCAGAAAGCTTTAAAATTAAATCAAAAGAAGATTCATATTCTGAGGGAACTGGTTTGTTTTACTTTATATTGCAGCTCAGCTCTTAGACAATAAAATTATCTGCAAACAGTCCATGGAATGAAATAAACAGAGGATTGTGTTTCTGAACTTCATGTTGATTAAAGTAGGAAAAAATATTTAAAGAAAAGGAAATAAAATTTTAACTTACCAGCTTGACCAAGTGTATACTCCTGATGTCTTGTTCCTATTCTGTTTGTGGCTGTACAATTATACCGTCCAAAATCACTGTCAGATGTGGGAGCAATCTTTAAAATAAACACACTTTGTAAATATTAGTTGCTAATTAAATATATTATATTATTTTAAAATCAGAACTTCAAGTATGTTCTCCTTAACCAATACACAGATGTGTTCTTCAACATATCTAGTATATTCTCCAAATATAGACCTAAATATATGTTTTTCATGTTTGACTGCCCTTTCTCAACTTCAAATGAAATGTTTAAATCTCATTAATTTAATTCTCTGATAATGGAAAATAGTAACACTGCTCATCTTTATAATTTCACTTTTAAACAAGAATTAAAAAAAAAACCCAAACAAAAAACAAAAACTAATAAACATTTTGTAGATATCAAGTGTTTATCAGGGAGTCACATTAATTTTCAGTCTTAGCTTGATTGTCTAGTTTTATATCTATTTCTGGATTTTTTTAATTCTAATTATCTAAGGTATATTTTTGTAGTGTGTTGTTGGAAAACTGAGCATAAGCCATTCAAATAAGGTTTATTTTTTACCTACTCACAAGAAATGTGTAGATAGATCAGTCCATATATTAGTATTTATTGTTTTGTTCCTTTTTAAGGAGCGTTACTTAAAAAATTGTAGGGTTTAGCCTTAAATACCCTCTACAGTACTTGCAGTGCAGCCAAACTGAGGACAGAATTATGTTCCACCACCACACTGATTTCCATTTGCAGTCTTACCTCTAGAATCAGCTTTCTTCCTGTACTGTAGGTCTTCAAATGAGTTGTATTTTTTACAGGTAAAACTAATTTTCCTCTTTTCCACTGAACTGAGGCAGACGGATTTGCTAGCACTTCACAGCTTATATTGATGGGATTGCCTTCCCAAGAGTAATACATGGTTTGATTTGACACGAATGTTGGAGCAACTGGAAAAGGAAGTTTATTAACCAGTTTAGTAAAACAAGCTGTATACTCATATCCAAGTTTTCATGTTCACTGAGAAATTTCAATTGATTTTTTGTGTCAGTTTACCACTGAACATGGAAGTGTTAGTATTCAGCCATGAATTTCTTGGGCTTTTGTCTTGGTAACTTTCTCCTCTCCTAAACAGTTTCAGCTGAACTTCTTGGGAAAAAGAATATCTGTTAAATATATTTAATATTAGGCAACCACAGGCCTTGAAAGACTCTCTCAGAAATGAGGATGAGTGTTTCCTCTTGAGGATGACAAACTCTTCAGCCAGACTGTCATATGACAAAGGGAGGTGACCTAAAAACATATATTGTCCATTCATGTCCTGATTCTTTTGCTATGGAGAAATTACATTCACTCCTCAAATTTTCTTGTGCTATGGCTTCACCCATTTCTGACTGGAACTTTATTATACTTTATGAAATCTTTCTAAAGAGAAATGTTTATTTGTGGAAATAAAACTTAAAAAAAAGCAAAATAATACCAAAAATGTTACAATGTATTGTCTACCTACTGTATTGTATTGTCTACCTACTTCAAAAAAAATATATTGTGAGTACATTATTTAGGACAATGTTTATATCAGTTTCTTATGAAATTATCCAGCTACAGCCAAGGAAAAAGATTATGTGTTTTTCTTACACATCTGACTGGCTTGTAAGGATTGGCTGCATTAAACATATACCAAACAGGGAGTCTGACACAGAGGAAATCGCTGGTTTGCAAAGTAACTGTGATTTTCATACTGCAGTGCTACTAAGTGACAAGATTTATCCCTTCTACTCACTGTTTCGCTGGAGAGCAGGAAGTTTAGGGAGCTCTACAGAATGAGAGGGAGTAGTCTTTTCCCTTTTCTTCTTACCTCTTGAGTGAATAGTGGGGTTTTTTTATCAAATATTTATTTGTGTTACTTCCTAATTTCATCGCTATTGTCTTTTAATGGTATTAAAAAAGATTCTTTAGTCAAGGAAACTCCCTTAGGGCTTTAATTCCAAAAGAGATTTATCAGTTGCAGCTGTTGTTGTTTTAATATCTAAGATACATATATGTATGTATTTTTTTTGATAAACAGCTCCTAAATCTTTCCATATGTGTCTCTGGAAAATCTGTTCTAGTCCTCTCATGTATAGCTTGGTTTTAGGCAAGAAAATTCCTAATACTTAGGAATACTTCCTAATATCAAAGACCAGAACTGAGTATCTTTAGTATGAAGTAAAATTAGCTTCAGGAATGGTTAAAAACATTAGTTTTTTTCTTCTTCTTTAATTTTTTTTTTCCCCCGAAGAGCATATTTTCAACTTTTTCCTGTTTGCCTCTGTCAAAAAGCGTAACTTTTTGATGATATATGCTGCTGCTGCATGCAGATATATAGACTTTGAGCAAAAAGAACTGTTATCAATAGAAGTTTTAATTAGGAAGTAACACAAATAAATATTTGATAAAAAAACCC